AGGTGTATCATTATTATCATTATTTTTCTGAACCGTTCCACCTATTTAATATTTCCTACCCATTCCACCCCCCCCCCAACTCTAACATTCCCCCGCACAGTTGAATTCATTTTCACTTTTATTTATTCATTCCTGATGTTTTGAATGTGTTTTTTGTGTGTTTATTGCATTTTTCTTGTATTTTCCTTGTATTTTTCTTGTATTTTTCTTGTATTTTTCTTGTATTTTTCTCCTGTTTCCATGTTCTTTTGACTACGCTGGTCTCTATAAAGGGTCCCTGAGTGGCATGAAAGTCGCTTTCTAAAAATAATGTGTATTTTTTATAATTATTCCGACCCCTTTCTGGCCTCAGGTGGTGTATGAGGACAGCCGGATGGTGGCCCTGACGGCCCCGTACGTGGCCGGGTTCCTGGGCTTCAGGGAGGCTCCGTTCCTGCTGGAGGCTCTGCAGCGGCTGGAGTTCAGCCAGCCTTCACTCATGCCTCAGGTCTGCCCCCCAAACCCCGTTAACCCGGGAAATCTGCAGCTTTACTGTGTTTACAGGGAAAACAGGATGTCTCGGGCGTTCTTCATCATGCTGCCGTTCCAGTGAAGTTAGATCAGATAACAGATCCCTGGGGGGATTAAAAATATTTGAAATATCTTTGTTTACATGCATGCTGCCTGATAACAAAAGGTTAGCGTTTTTAGTTTAACTTTGTCTCTTTTTTGTGTGCAAACAACTGAAATAGTCGTTTCCAGCTCCAGTATTCCAGCATCTCAACCTGAAGATGAAAGATGAGGGTGTTTGCCCAATTCTTTAGTTGGAAGCCTGAGAATAAACCAGAGCAGATCAGTAGAAAGTAGAAATATGACATTTATTGGTCACAAGCAGAGTACACCAGCTGGTTTCTCACAGACAAAGTTCCTGGAGGATCTCAGTCTGTAAGAGCCTCCATTTCTGGGGGTGATGGACAGTTTTCCTCTGGGCCTCCAACAGGAGGACGAGTGTTATTGGCCAGTTAGCTCTGACCTGAACAGGCCAGGTCCTAATTCATGCAGGTTTTGGTCGAATGTGATAAGAAAGTGTGTGTAAGTGGACCTTGAAGAAGAATATCTACTGTAACAGAGAGAGGAGGAGGAGGAGCCAGAGAGTTTAACCCAAAAGTAGAATTATAAAGGGAATAATAGGAATCTAAAAAAGAATAAGACAATTTACATGGATTAAGTTATAACATGTTGTGCTAAAGTAAGTAATTATAGCCCAGTTCTAACAAGGGGCAGAACTCTGAATAAAAGCCTAAAAGCCTCTCGTTTATGTCCGTTTGCTCCTGTTTCTTTGGGTCTGGTTCGGTAAATCTGTGGAGTTTTGTTCTGCTGGTTTTTCAGCCCGACTTCATGCTCTCTGACAAACTGTGACAAAGCTCCTCTGTTCTCCCACTCGCTTCTGCTCACCACCTCCCACGACTCCCCCGCGTCCTCCCACTGCCGACAGGTGCACAAACAGGAAACGCACACTCACCAGACAGACGCACAACCGGGGGCCTCTTCACAGCGCATCACAAACTCTGTGTCACACTTAAACGTCTCCAGTTTCCCCACCGAAAAACCTAAAAACTGTAAATAAAGAGGACGGATATTTAACATAAACATCCCACCTATTCGGGGTTTTGACCTCAGCTAGTTATTGTTTTTCTTGTTGTTGTTGATGTAAGATTTAAAATCACAATTCAGAGTGAGTCAAAAGTCAGAGGAAACTACATATCTGAGTACCAGGGCCAGTTATAAGTGAGTGGGGCTTATTTTTAAGGGCTAACAGGAACACGGCGTCCATCTTAAAAGCCACCATATTGGATTTAGGGAAGGTTTTCCACTATTTAAGTGTGACCTGAGCCATTCCTAAGTATGAACCAGACAGACGCACAACCGGGGGCCTCTTCACAGCGCATCACAAACTCTGTGTCACAATAAATAGTCTCCAGTTTCCCCACTGAAAAACCTAAAAACTGTAGACAAAGAGGAACATAAACATCCCATCTATTCGGGTTTTTGACCTCAGCTAGTTGTTATTTTTTTTATTTTTGTTGAGGTCAAAGTTAAAATCCTGATTCAGAGTGAGTCAAAAGTCATATGTTATAAGTGAGTGGGGCTTATTTTTAAGGGCTTACAGGAACACGGCGGCCATCTTAAAAGCCGCCATATTGGATTTAGGGCAAGTTTTTCCACTATTTAACTGTCAATAACAAATGCTGCTGCCTTCTTATTTAAATTATATCTGAAGAACTTCCAAGTGGGACCTGATCCATCCCTAAATATGAGCTTTATATAGTATAAACTTTATTAAGAAGAGTTTTTAGCCAGACGCACAACCGGGGGCCTCTTCACAGCTCCTCACAAACTCTGTGTCACAATAAATAGTCTCCAGTTTCCCCACTGAAAAACCTGAAAACTGTAGATAAAGAGGAACAAAAATATCCCATCTATTCAGGTTTTTAACCTCAGCTAGTTACTGTAGGCTCAGTTTTTTCTTGTTGTTATAAGATTTAAAAGCACAATTAAGAGTGAGTTAAAAGAGGAAATTACATATCTGAGCACCTGGGACAGTTATAAGTGAAAGGGGTGTTTATTTTTAAGGGCTAACAGGAACATGGCGGCCATCTTAAAAGCCGCCATATTGGATTTAGGGAAAGTTTTCCACTATTTAAGTGTGACCTGAGCCATTCCTAAATATGAACCAGACAGACGCACAACAGGGGGCCTCTTCACAGCGCATCACAAACTCTGTGTCACACTTAAACGTCTCCAGTTTCCCCACCGAAAAACCTGAAAACTGTAGATAAAGAGGAACATAAATATCCCATCTATTCGGGTTTTTAACCTCAGCTAGTTACTGTAGGCTCAGTTTTTTCTTGTTGTTATAAGATTTAAAATCACAATTAAGAGTGAGTTAAAAGAGGAAATTACATATCTGAGCACCTGGGACAGTTATAAGTGAAAGGGGTGTTTATTTTTAAGGGCTAACAGGAACACGGCCGCCATCTTAAAAGCCGCCATATTGGATTTAGGGCAAGTTTTTCCACTATTTGATTGTCAGTAACAACTGCTGTTGCCTTCTTATTTAAATTATATCTGAAGAACTTCTAAGTGTGACCTGATCCATCCCTAAATATGAGCTTTATATAGTATAAACTTTATTAAGGAGAGTTTTAAGCCAGACGCACAACCGGGGACCTCTTCACAGCTCCTCATAAACATCCCATCTATTCGGGTTTTTAACCTCAGCTAGTTATAGTTTTTTTTTTTATTGTTGTTGAGGTAAGATTTAAAATCTGGATTCAGAGTGAGTCAAAAGTCAGAGGAAATTAAATATCTGAGCACCAGGGCCAGTTACATTAACAGGGCAGCCATTTTAAAAGCCGCCATATTGGATTTAGGGCAAGTTTTTCCACTATTTTAAATGTCAATAACAAATGCTGTTGCCTTCTTATTTTAATTATATCTAAAGAACTTCCAAGTGTGACCTGATCCATCCCTAAATATGAGCTTTATATAGTATAAACTTTATTAAGAATGGGAGTTTTAAGCTGGGGGGAGGTGTCAAATATCAGAACAGAGAATCAGAAAAGCTTTTATTGTCGTATGTATTTCCCTAAACTTGACATCAGTGTGTTGTGTTTTAAGCTGTCATATGTATATTTATTGTCATCTGTATTTCACCAGGTGGTGTTTGTGGATGGGAACGGGCTCTTCCACCACAGAGGTG